TAAAAGAAGGCGTTGGAACAAACGAATTGATAAGATGATAATGATGATGATAAGATGATGTTTATAATAATGATGATACTGATTACCAATATCACTATAATGATGATGATGATGATGATGATAAACATGAAAAACAACTACAACTAAAAACCACATGCGATATCTTTGTCTTTGTCTATGTAGCAATCCATCTCATTCTATTTCAGTGCAGTGAAAGTTCCGCTGATGTGATACGTAATATATATATATATATTGGAATATTTTGTATTATGATATATGGCATATATGTATGCTTTACGCTATTTGGTCACATATAGTTGAAAACTCGTAGACTTTTTGAGCCACATTCTATAGTTGGGCTGAGCTTAGAAAAGGTTCAGAAACGTTCAGCTGAAACAGGYTCAATCTGATAAGAATGATTGATTGATGATCCTTCATGAAATAAATCAAAACATATCTTCCGAGATTTTGATATAGATATAAAACTAATTGGTATAGACTAACTATATTTATATAATAGCACTGCCAGCTTCTAGCCTTGGCACATTTGAAAGACTTTGTAAAAAGTTTTGAAAAAATTTGGAATTATACAAACTTGATAGGTATACATATAATATATATGTACATATGTATATACATTTGGGTTTGAAAAGTGTCAAAGCTTTTTCTACTTCTATCTCTCCTTGTAGATATCTATTGATCGGAGCGGGTAGCTTTAGGGCTAAGGCCTCATAGATGAGCTTCACGTAAAGCTGACTTCTTCAGTTTAGTTTCTTTTTAAATGCCGTTTCTTAGCCATCCACACGGCTGCCAATTGATCTGTCAACCACATCAAATTGGCTTTTATTATAGATCTTCGTATAGCAAGTTCACACCTTTGCTGATTGATTAGTCCATTGAAAGCCCAATTTAACATTGTTTTCTCATTCACAAGTGTGTTTTCCCCCCAGTTTTTTTTTTTTTTTTTTTTTTTTTGTTTTTTTTTACACTTTTTCTTTTTATTACGGCAAAAGACCTGAAAAAAAAATATCAGCCCGCGGTTTCATTTTTAATGGCTATTCAAAAATTCGCAAAAGCTTTTACACAATCACAAACGAAACCCGAGTTGGCCAATTCAAATCTGACAACTGATTTCCATTTGATACCAAAACCAGCCAAAAAA